GAACTCCAACCTGATCAACCCTGAAACCTAACATGTTCCGAACAACAGACTCTGCAGTCATTGACTGGATGGAATGCGCGTAAACGATGACTGGATGCATGTTCGAACACTCCCTACCATGTGTTCTTTAAAACGGTGGCATCCTGCAGTTTTAGCGACCAAAGTCCAACACATCGTAAGAAAATCAGGATTCTGCGAAAACCCTTAGGATAAAGGGTCATAATCGTTCTCCAGCGGCGTGGAATAGTGTCCATCCATTGTGCATCCCAAATAGTTGCTTTTTTTGTTTGTGGTGGGAGCAAGTTTCAGGCCAAGCTCAAGAAAACAGCACAACAAGCAATTGTGGTGTCAGTTCTTGTTACTTCTGTGTTATTTTCTGCATCATTTTGGCGTCACGTGTTGTATCGCAAACTTTCTGCACTGCATCAGTCTTTCTGCATTGTGTTTTACGGTGAGAAGGGCAAAAGGCATCATTGCAGGATCCAGGTATGCACATAGAAAGCCTTTATCATCTTTATCAATCTCAAATCATTTGTACAACTCTTGGATGGTCGGATGGTCTTGATTCACTAGGCAGCTCTTTCCACAGCGGCTTCAGCCAAATGAACCCGTTCTCGTCCTCCTCCATGTGCGGCACACCCTCCACCAAGCGCTCGGAGAGCGACTTGCGGCAGGCAGGTTCAAGTGGCCTGCGGCTTGGGCACCAGGCACTCGAAACCGTCGACGATTGCAGCTTTTGCGCACGAACTTGTGGTGTTCAGAGTAGCCAAAAAAAACAAGTTGCTGACCCATCTCATGATGGGACGTGAAATGCAGCTTGGGAGCGTCAGGTCTTCGTCTTCCTACGCATTTTGGAGGGTTCCTGAACTATACTCAAGCTACCCACCGATCCGCCCCGCATCAAAACTGACCATTCTGTTGAATCCCACAGCCAGGCAGCAAGGTTGCACTGAGGGCCCACGGGTGCAAGCATGGAAGGACCATGGAAGGACCATGGGTTATCTTTCAAGAACCGCACCAGAAAGAAATAAAATCAAGAAATGGTAGTGCAGAGTGCAAAGTGCGGCCGCAAACCGTCTGACTACATTTGTGGGATAATCCAAGCACAAAAGGCCTATCTCAACATTTGAATTAATACATTTGAGTTTTATATAGTTTTAGAATGTTGTAGATCATTCACAGCATGTTCACCTCAAACCAAACAGCTGGGTCACTCAGTACTCATGGAAACAGCTGGACATGTTCGTCTCAAGAGTCTCAAGCCATGTCGGTTTCGAGCACGCTAGGTACCCGGACAGCTCGCCACGTCCCATGCCCACACACACGGCCACCGCCGTGCGGGCACAAGGCTGAGCACGCGGTGGTTCTTCGGTTCATCCGAACAAAGGCACGGTGGGAAGGAGATCATCTAACCGAGTTCATCTTCTTGGTTGGAGCACATCTGACCAAGAAAGTGGAAGGCTTAAATGTGGGACACATCCCAGAAGCTTTGTAGGGGATCCAACCACCTTCTGAGCCCAGCAGTGGTGCAGTCCGTCAATAGAGTGTTCTGAAGAGTTCGGGGCCTGGATCGGCACCGTTTGTGGCTAGGATGAGCACTCCACCTCTCCTTTGCAAAAACATGGTCGCAAGAAACACTAAGACACATCTGAAAGATATGTCTTCTACTTACATGGTCTCTCGAGATTGGTCTTCCTTGCTCGCTGGAGATTGGTCTTCCAATGCCTTATTGCTTCTGGTCCGCCCCCCAACCCCCAAAAACAGCCTTGAAAGATCAACCTTGTGGACCACGTGTTCGCCAAAACTACTTGAGCCTTGGACGCCTTGTTCGCACCTGACATTTAAGCCGCATTCCAAGATTCCCAAAGCAGAGTTACTATAGTTACTAACAAAACCACGCATGATTTGCGTTAGAGAGTTTCAGGTCTATGAAGTGTCCTTTCGCATCTTTCGCCTGGAGCCCCCGCAGTTTGTAGCCCTTAATAGGATGTTTTTTCGCTACGCATGTAATGAACACATCGAACATCATCGAACCATACCCCATAATTCTCTCTATAGCACGTACTCCAAAACCCCCTGCGGTGGGACCGGCACCGGGCGTCCCGGACCAAGGGCGGTACCACCGGATCCTCCCGCCATTGCGAGTTCTCCGTGTCGTAGACCGGCACCGCGGCCAGCTGCCTGCGGTGGTCTAGACCCTGGGACCCGTCCCGAATGAAAAGGAACCAAGAACTGCGCGATGTGATGACTCATGACTCATGACTATATATTGATGAGTAGATTCTATAGATTCGATAGATGTTCCGTTTAGGGCTGTCAGCCACATCCGAAGTGAGTTAGACCATGTTAGACCCGGAAAAATGCCCCCCCCACCCCAACTACCTTCACCGAAGAGGTCGGCGCCAGATGTCCCTCGCCTGATCTGCGAGAAGTCCGGCGTCTCATCGCAGCGCTCCCCGCCGATGACCACCACGCAGCGGCGGTCCGTCTCAGCGAACAGTGCGGGAACGAGTCAAATGGTCGAAGAGCGAGGGGTGGAGGCCATCACTACTACGTTTTTGGGGTGGAGGCCATCGCTACTAGTAAGAAGCTAACTAACATGGAAGGGGATGGCATGGTCCCTTGAAAGACTACTTTCTACGAACAGGTGGTGCCATCCACTTGCATGTGAGTGTCGGAGTGTATATCGAAAGCGGAAAGTGATGAACTCTGATGAACGTCATGGAGTTGAATGTTTGAGTGCTTTTTTTGAAGCGAGCTCAGTGGGTGATTGGCCTCAGGTTTGGTTGGAGGGTTGTAATCCAAACCCAACAAAATCCGCTTCAGCCGCTTCAGCTGCCGGTGCCAGAATAGAGAATACATGCTGAGAATACTTTATACAGTAGCATTCTTGCCCGGGCAGGCAGGAGCCGATTCATCTCCATGCAGAATCTCCCCCAAACTCCGGCAAGCTGCGTTGAAAACTTGATTGAAGGCAGTGCCAACAAAATGGGAAAAACAACTCTCTCTCTCTCTCTCTCGTTGGACGCTACTCTCGGGAGTATTTTCCGAACAAATGAGAGGAACAACACCTCATGCGGGAGAAGGATGAAGAAGGGAGGACACGTGGTGGGAAAAACATCGAAAACAACATCCAGTCGTTTTGCCTTTGTGCAACTACTGGTCATAGACGTGGAACCTGGATCTTTTGCACCGAGCACGAGCATTCTTTTGGCCACTGCCTCCATGTCTATGGTTAGAATCGAAAGGACAATCATATGGATCTACACATCTACACACAGTTCTCTGCATGCAAATGCAAAAGAGGCGCCTAGAGTCTGAGAGTAAGGTCAAAGATAGACACACTCCGACTCACTAACATGGAAGTGGAACACCCCCGGTTTGTAAAGGAAAGTCGTCTTCCAAGGGACCATGCCATCCACTTCCATGTTAGTGAGTCATAGTGTAAGTTAGCAACCAGGAATGGTTGCAACATATTTTGAGGCCGGGCCTGAGGATGGGTCCCAATGCTCGGTGGTACGTCCATCCATGCCTCCCAATCCAAGTCATCCAAAGCTTTAAACCAACATGATTTGCGGGAGACAACAATAACAGAATCAAACGGTTGCTGAAAGCATCTGAAAAAGCTTCGGTATTCTTTGGGATCAAATCCCCGTGACCCTGGTGGCTCAACCAGGCGCTGGTCACGATAGCTCCTGCCCTGTGGCGACAAGGTCTTGCCAGGTATTCAAAGTCTCCTTTCCAAGCAGGTGCTTTCCAGGCTGCTATTGATACAGCTGTTGATTCGGTTGCAGCATGCAGTGAGAAAGCCTGCTCTTTCCCATGCCCAGATGCAAGTTGCGACGTTCTTGTACCCGGCTTGCCCTCGAAGGGACCATGAGTGGGTGTGTAGCTCAAATAGGAAGATTGATTCTCGTTGACCCGCTGGAAGAAGGAAACTAGACCAGCCTACCCAATGCTTAGTTCGGGATCTCCGAGATCTCCCTATTAGAATACACACCCATGTGACCGTGACCCATGTATTTTTTCCATGTGACCGGACGTTGACATCGCGCTGCTCGGCTCAGGAATTCTGCCGAACGCGTCGCTGCAACCTGTTGCAACCTGTTGCATCGCTGAGGTCCGAACTGGATCCGGGCCGAAGCGACGTTGCCAAGGGGCATGTGCGTCGGCCCCGCTTTGCCAAGGGCCACAGCAATGGCCACAGCAGTCCACTCTCTCGTCCGGCCCGGTGCCTTTCTGGATTCCTTGAGCAACCAAAGCGTCGAAGTGACCTCTGCGTTCCTGTGGAACTCGTGTGACCGACCTCTGGAGCTCGGTCCTGCCTGGGACGGATGGTGACAAGCGGCAGCTTCCCTCCGATTCAATCGGCAAACCACGGGAACTCCGGGCTGCTTCGGATGGACCTCAGGCCGGGCCTCATGACCGTGGTCACTGTGCAAGGTCGCGAAAGCGAATACCATAACGGTTTCCAATGATTGCACCCAACCTGAACCACCCCGCAAAAAAAATGCCAAAGGCAAAACGAAGCAAAAAGTACCATTCGTTATTCCATTGTTCTAAAACAGCATAAGTCACTCACCGTCGCCGCACCACTGAGTCCATTTGCCACTGGGTAGGTCTTCCCATGTGAAGGCAACGACAGCACCGCGGCCTTGCAAATATCGGCTGTTTTGGGAGGAAAGGCACTAACATGGGGTGTGGGAATGAACTACAAAATCCTTACACTCACCAACATGCAAGTCGTACTTTGTGTATATATGTATATTATGTATGTATGAACACACTGCAAATGAGCTGCCTTCAGGCATTGTTCCATGTCACTGCCTAAAGCTAGACTTGTTCAACATCTGGGAATCACTATCAAACAGCCTTGAATATAATCTCTCTTATACGTGTCACTTCCCAGAATGCTAAGGCCCAACCTAGCAATGCCGCAATGCCCAAGAACCCAAAACACACCCCGCCGGCTCGGGCCTGACAGCCCATGCGGCCGTCGCTCAAGTCATCCTGACCAACGACTGGTGACGAGGGCGATGTGACAACCACCAGGGCCTAAGGATGTACCTGGACATGATGATGGACAGCAAGGGGATGTAAAGCTGTTGGGGGAGACTCCTGTGGTCGCTCTGGTCGCGCTGGTCGCGACGCTCCGTGAGTTATGCCCCATCTGCCCTATACTCTTCCGCAACGTCTTGAACGCCTCCTGGCAAAACACCTCCTACAATTCCTACAGAGCCATGACGTCCCTCTCTGCTTGAGGCTTGAGGTAAGAATTCCATCATCCTCTGCTGGGTGGGAGTCAGTAACCAAACAAAAAGAGTCTCACAAAATATGTGGGGAGCATAGGAAGCATCGTGATGGGCTACGGCATCTGTTAACGGAGTAAACGTGGACCCGTGGACCCACGTCCAAACACTGCAAATAGTGAGAATTCTGTATCTGAGATCAGCAGTAGCAACGGGCTGCACAAACTATATACAGCATAAGAGTTAGATGAGTTGGCAAGCGTTATTGCACTTGCATTCGATGATCCACAAGGTGGACTGTAGTCAGGCACAAACGCAGGAACGATCCCGGTATACAATTGGTATTGAACGCTTTTGCCCAGTATGCAAAGACTCAGTGCCAGCCGTATGCTTCAAAATCTCATGGTGTATACAATCGAGCGATCCTACAAATGTCAAAATCAGATCGCCTTTGTCTTCAGATTGTTATATGCATTGCGCCTCTGCTGGACATTAACTTACTCTTTGCCAGAGCGGGAATTAGGCTACTCTGAGCAGTTATTTCACTCCTTGATGTCCTTTCCGAGGGTTTCATCTCAAACTCTTCTTAGTCGGCAACCGCAAGTTGTGTTTGGTTCTCTTAACGTCTGGCTGCCTAGACTTCCTGTGGCGGAGGGGAATCAACTTGAAGACAACAATTTCTCAAAGTCTCGACACATGTCCCGACCTTGTTTTCTCTTGGGGAAAGCAAAGAGCTGAGAACTAGCGGTGGAGCAAGACTGGTGACTTTGGTTGGGAAAATGGTATCACTTGGTCTTAGTTACAACAGCTCAATGTAGCTAATGTGCCATACATGGATTGTCTGGAGCATTGTATTTGGAAGGCTAGTGGACAATAATGCGCGGCGCTGAAACTATCAGTAAGAGGTTTCCAATATTCAGGCAATTATCCCTTTGATTCTCTATCCTTGGTCTCCCCTTCAGCCCGCCAAGCCAGACTACAAACAACGACCAAACTCTTCATCACAAAATTCATGGAGGCTCTGGTTCTTCTTTCCACAACTAAAAGCCCAGCCACCGACCGGTCACTCGGTTTTGCATTCCATTCCGTACTAGGAGCAAGGATGCTACTAGGGGCTCCTGGCCTCACTACTAGGAGCAAGGACGCTACTAGGGGCATTTGGGATCCCTAGATGTTCGTCGGCTTAACTCGATAGAGACTGTGGCTCCCTGCGACGACCTTGTCATCTTCTGCCGGGGACAGGCCTCCACGAAAGCGGGGGCCACTGGATTCTCACTCAGGCTGTAGTGGAAAGGCTAGGGTCTGCTGTATGCTTGACATGTTTGGTTTTGCGATCAAACGTATTGAAAGCCGAACATATTGATGTTCCGTCTCCACTAGGACATGCATTTATTGAAACACACACCCATCATCCTCATATATATATATATATATAGTATAATTAGAAAACATCTGAACCTAAAGTCCTCTATGTAGCTAATAAATCTTAAACAACATCTTAAGATTCCTTGAGCAATATATTGGTGTGCAGATGCTCAAGGAAATCGCAGGAGAACTCGCCAGGCGTCTCTGGAATGAAGCATACAATTCACATATCTGCGACCGAACTGAAGAACAAGCAACTGAGTTGAACAAATGGAAACACACCTCTCTGGCCATTGCTATGCTGCCAGGCAAGCACGTTCATTGCAACTTGTTTTTTTGCTCACGCTCCAAAGATAGGACGGCCATCTGCTGGGTTGTCCAGCAGTCCAGCCACGGTCACAGCAAAATAGTCCAACCAACAAGTGTTCTCTCCGCCAAAATGGTCCGAGCAAGAAGGGGATAGCTGGACTGTCGGGGAGCAACCGTATCTCTTGCCCTGAACCTCTCTGACCCATCCCATCTCTGAGAATCCCCTCATAATATAGCCCCCCCAAAGTACTTTTGGGCTGAAACACCACTTGGATCCAAGTGGTTTCCTTGACCCCCAAAGTCTGCGTTGTTCCCCACCAATCTTTTTGGGGCCTTCACCAGGACCAAGACTCTTGCTGAGCTGCCAAAAAGCACACTCCCTAAGAATCCAGACGTGAAGCAATGGAAAGGGCATAAGGATCGGGTCCGTCGCGTAGGAAGGTGGTGCGTCCGGAGTATCTGGGAAGCAATAGAAAGTTAATCTTTTAGCATCCACCCTTTTCTTTGGTCTCAGTGAACCTTTTATTTATTGGTGGCCTAGTCAGGTGGCAAGCCAAAGCCACCTAGGGCAGCTGAGTCTCCTCCACGCGCCTCCATCGGGCAGTTGGACCCTATAGACCTCGAGGAAACATCGTGGCGTGTTCCGAGGGACCTGGGGGCCAGTTGGGTATAGTTTCTGTTTGATTGTTTTTTGTTATTTGTTTAAAGGTTTGGAAGATGGGAAGATTCTTGTGCAAGTCTTGACTGTTAGGCTTAGGGTGTGTGCAAGTTTTGGGTTAGGGTTTCTTTGGTTTTCTGGATGAGGTTTGGCTAGCCAAAGTTTTTGGAAATCTAATAGTAAAGATTTAAAACGATCCCACAAAAGAACAAGATGGAGCCCACGAACCCGAATGCAAACACGTTCAAAAAGCTACATATGTCCAAATGACACTCTTGTAGGACACTCTTACGGGACACTCTTGTGGGACACTCTTGTGGGACACTCTTGTGGGACACTCTGTGGAAACTCTTGTGGGACACTCTTGTAGGACACTCTTGTGGGATACTCCTGTAGGACACTCTTGTGGGACACTCTTGTGGGGCACTCTTGTGGGACACTGTTGTAGGCAGCTCTTGTGGGACACTCTTGTAGGACACTCTTGTGGGACACTGTCGCGGGACACTCTTGTGGGA